CAGGCAAGTTTTGCTTGCTTTGAATAATTTTTTATAAAATTTTTATTCCAGTAAGGACTATCGCCTAGCATTTTGCAAGACTTTTGGATTCATTCCCGGAATTGAAAAATTTATTGTTCCTCTAAACCAGTCTAGCATGAAGGTCTATTCAATTTCACCTACAAAAATGATTGCGAATAACAAAATAAATCCGGCCACAACATCAACTCCTCTTTTTGTAAAAAGAGCTTCTTTAAGGAAAGTAGGGATTTGAAAAGAATATTTGGACTATTTTCAATGATATTTATTTTTATTATTTTATTTTTTATAAATTATGTAGCAAAGCATATAATTAATGAAATCATCCGCAAATATTATTTTTGGAAACTTAATTTAATAATAAAACTATTTAATTAGAACTTGTATTTTAAGAGCCTCACCTACTCTGAAAAGCTCAATTAAAAAATAGGCAAAAAATAAGAACAAACATGAAAACAAAATAATAATATGGGTTAAATTTTTAATTTGCTGCATTTTGTCAAGAACTTGACATCGCATTTCATAGTAACTTTTCATTTTTAGACATTTAAATTTGAAAATTTTAATGTCGTTACTAGTACTATATTTTATGTAGTTAGGTATGTTGTAGAACATGTCAGGTATGTGCCGGGTGTGAAAAGAGTTGAGGCAGGCTGGAATTGGGGCTTTCAATATTTGTTTCAGATTAATTTCCTTGTCTAAAATTTTTTAAATTTATTCAAAAATTTTATTTTTATTTTAAATTAATACATCTGCAAAAAAATTATTTCCGCGAAAGACAAATTCCATTGCAGAATATTTTATTTTTCACATAAAACCGGAAATGCAAAAATTCTATTTTAATAAATTTTCTCTGGCATAATTCTTTAAATTTGACTTTTGGAAAATTTTTAACATGAATGGGAAAATTTAACATAGTTTTTCGTAAAAATTTTAGTACGTAATTGAATAAAACTTGATTTGTTGAAATTTTTTATTCCCAGAGGTATATTTTAAATTCTTAAAAATAAATTCTCACAATTTTATTTTCCGACAACCTATATTTGGCTTTTATTGAAAGCAGTATAAATGATAAATTATTTCAATTTTCTTTGATTATTCGAAAATAATTTTAAAAAATTATTCAGTTACTCACTTTTTTCGCGGCTAGATGACATGTTAGAGGTACCTTAGCGGTATTTTTCTAAAAAGGTGAACGGACTTCTCCTCGTGATTAATGACCGCGTGAACCAAGTATTCCTCCTATTTATCGATGAAAATTAAGGAGTTCATTACGAAATCCCAGAAGCTCAAGACATAATCTCGTCCTTTACTGCGAGGAATTAAATTAGAATCTAATACTAACCCTGCTAAATTTTGGAATAAGGGCTTTCATGGGATGTGTATGATCCAAGTAAGCTATAAATATTGGGTTATAATTGCAATAATTGTTTAATTAAACTATAGATTTAGAAATAAAATTAATAATTTTAATAATTAATAATCATAATAAAATGCAAAATATTCACGAATTTCCGCCCAACGATTCAAATTTAAATTATAACGTAACGACAAATGGCGTAAGAATTATTTTTGAATTTTTTTTTGATTATAAATTAAAATTTTATTCAAAGTTCTACTTGACATTTTGGAAAAATGGAATACCAACATTATTTATAATAATTGTGGGTATTCGCTGGTTTATTGCCATGATTGGATTTTTTACAAATTTGTTACTTTTTTGGGTTTTTGCCGTTAATAGGTATTCAATCTAGAAAATAAATTTCAAAAATAATTTCAGAAAAACATTCCAAGGAACTTGTCATATATTAATTGCAACAAATGCATTAACTACATCTCTTTTTGAACTCTCTTTAACTATCGGGTTTATAATGCAATTAATTGGAATACAATTTGTTTATATACGGATATGTCTAGCTTTACAAGTAAATTAATTAAACACACTATAAGTTAGCTTTAAGGATACCTCTATGTTCAGACAGCCTCGTTGCCGTACTGATACCCATTCTTAATAGCCGATTTTGCCCAGCCGTTCAGGCAGTAATATTATTAATATTATTCCTAAATTTTATATAGGCAATTCCTATATTTCTTCGAAATTTTATCATCTCCACGTTATGTGTAATTGCTTTGGATCGTCTTTTGAGTACAGCATTTATCTCATGGTATTAGATTATCTATTAAATTATCTAATATAATTCAAAAAATTTTTCAAAGGCACCTTAAAAATGGAGAGACCCTAAAATATCGTATGGCTCTCTTTGCTTTTTGTTTTATCCATGCAGGAGTGTTTATTGCTGCGACTTTATATAGTGCTTACATTATGCCAGATTTGTATGTTATAATAATTAATCTAATAATTTTCTTAACAATCCGTGGCTTTAAAAGGCACATCTCTCTTAGAGTTTTCTCTAGTATTTGGTAAAGGACTTATCTCGAAACCCCCTGATCTCCTATATAAATATCACAGTCAGCCAATATTATTCTTTTAGAAAAGAAGTCTGTATATCCTCCGACGATTGTTACCAAGGCTGGCTCGAGAATGTCCTCTTCCTTATAAATGTAGCTATACTTTTGCTTGTGTTAATCTTTTATATTGCTACTTGGACATTTCTCCGTATCCTTCATAAAAGTAATGGTTAGTCCTCTTGACCGATAACTAAACTTCCCCCTTTTCAGCAGCTCTTGATTGGACTAAAAGAATCATTAAATCACTAACTATTATCGCCTTAACGATAACTCTCGGGTGGTTTTCTTATTATGCTTTACAGGCTTTTGTGATCCCGATATGTGAAAGATGGCTTAAACCTCTTCACATCGCTTATTTAACTTTTTGTTTTTCATATCTACCATATATCGCTATGGCTCTAAATGCTCCTATTCTTTTTAAATTCAGGCGAGTTTTGCTTGCTTTGAATAATTTTTATGATATTTCAGTAAGGACTATCGCATAGCATTTTGCAAGACTTTTGGATTCATTCCGGGAATAGACAAATTCATAGTGCCACCAAGCACCATGAAAATTGTTTCTGTATTACCAGCAAATGGATGTTCGAAAATGACTGGTTCCTCATCCTCTACTCTTTTTGTAAAAAATAATTCGGTGAAGCCATTTCAAGCATGGAAATAGACATACTAAGATTTATACACATATACTAATTATACAACATTTTAATAAATTTTAAAGATATGTAGAATTTTCAAAATAAATTTATTCTTTCCTCAAATACATTCAATTGCACAATCCATTAGAAGCACATCCAGTGCTTCCACAACCACTACAGGGTTTTCCTTTTTTGTAGATAACTTGGCCAAGATAATTCCCACTAAATAATAAACTGATTTATATTAAATATTTAAATCTAACGGTTTATTGTATTGACAAACAGTATAGGTTTTCCATTCAGAGTTTGGGCATTTCGCTACACCACAACCAATTTCGGTAGTTTCTGCCCAGGCCATTTGTGAGAAATGATTATAATGATTCATATCAACAACTAGGCTAGATTGGAATCCATCATCTTTCAATTCTGCCCACCAGAGTTTACAAGCTTCTAAAAGAGCATCTTCTAAAATTTTAATAATGAAAATTTTTAGTATAAAATTTAATTGAATTTTAATTATTTCAAAATCACTCTATCTCGAAATTGAAATTTTAAATCTTTTTCTTATGGTTCTGCTCATTTAGAGATGCTTGAAATAGTAAGAGCGAGGTAAAAGTTAATCCCAGGCAGGATTCGATCCTGCGAACTTCTACTACCCTTCTGTTCTCCATCCAATTCAGAAATGCTTGGATATTTTACTAAAAACGAGGTTCTACACAACAAACTTGTAGACATGTTCGGATCACTATCCATAGCAAGATTCTCTCCGTATTTACGCTGATTGCCTGGAGTATGACTCATTTTACATTGGTTTGCCCAATTAGTAGCACTAGCTTCCACAGTTTTGGAATAAGTCAGCTTTTTAATATTGCTTCCTTGGGGCATCATTCCAGTCTTGTTTTGCTCCTTTCCATTAGCTAGCGAAACACGGAAGTTATTGTGACAATCAAGGATGGCATTTTGTTCATCAGGTGTTAAAGCATTAATTTCTATAGGATAAAAATTTTATGGGAGAATAAATGTAATTTACCATTCAAAATCATTAATAACGCAATGGAGAGTATCAATAAGCTTTGGTGCATTTTATTTTCTTAATTAGACGGGTGGTTATTCAAGTAAAGTAAAAAACGGTAAAATTGAATGCTTAATTAATAGGATTTACTATCTTTTATAAGCTTAAAATCTCTTAAATTCTATACACTTAACACCTGGAATTGAACAAACATTTAAGAGATACGTTTCTTTGTTTGAGAGAGAGATAAACCGGAAGTAAGAGAGAGAAAACAGAAAATTAAATTTAAATTTTCACATTTTTATGAATATTGCTTATAATGAATAGAGAAATAGACAAATTTAAAAAAACGGAAATTTCCACCTGACTTAAGTAAATAATTAACCGATTGTCAACCATAATCCCAACTAAATTCAAATTCATTTTGAGAACCACTAAAATTACCTTTCAATTTTGCCACATCCCCATATATTCGCAGGATATCTTTCTTATTATTTTTTTAAATATACCAAAGGTGGATCGGAAATAACAAAGTTGCCAGAAATCGGAACTGACGCAAATCGGAAATGGCTCAAAAGTCGGAATTCTGGCTCACCTTTGTTATGTACATACATAATGGTCTGAATTTCTCCTTTCCTCAATTTCACTCAATTGTACCTGTGGCATGTTCAATGAGACACATGAGAGACACTTTTTTAATGAGAGACTTTCAATTATAATTATGTAATATTATAATTAATAAGTTCAATTATAATTAATATTTTACTATTCAATTAACTAATAAATATTTTATCAACAATTATAAACTATTCAATTCAAATACTCAACTATTTCCACTATTCTAACTAAATATATTTTATTCTCGTTCAATTATTACACAATCCATTAGAACACCCTTTGCTTCCACAACCACTACATGCTTTTCCTTTTTTGTAAACAGCTTGTCCAAGATAATTTCCACTGAAAATTCAGATTAATCTTGACAAAAATTCGAAACAAACGGTTTATTATATTGACAAACAGTATAAGTTTTATACGGTGCATTTGGGCATTTTGCTACCCCACAACCAATTTCGGTAGTTTCCGCCCAGGCCATTTGTGTAGCATGTCCAATATTAATGAAATTATTTCCGTTAACAACTAGACTGGATTGTATTCCAACTTTTTTGAATTCCCCCCACCAATTTTTACAAGCCTTTAAAAGTGCGTCTTCTGAAATTGTAGAAAAAATGTTTTTGTGTATTTAATATTCTTCAAGGTCTCAACTAATAAATAATTGTTAGTTACTATGTATTGTATATATTTAGTCTTGTGATAGTCTTTATCCTGTTATTCCTAAGACATACCGCAGTCAAGGACATAACAATCTTTTTCTTGCTATATTTCAGATATTATCCTTAAGTAGATTGAGATTATCATTCTTATGTTTATATAATTTATAGTCTGGCAAACACATCGTTATGGCTTAGTAAAGGTATTAGCTAGAGTACGTCCTTAGTGTATATAATGGTAATATGTTCTTAGGTTTAGTTGACGAATATCCAGCCTTCTCCCAAAAAAGGTATTAGTATGAGATATTAAAAAACTGAGTGGTCATTTTGAGTATAAATTGAATCGTCTAAAAACGATGTTCTTCTTGACTTGTTTAAGTTTTGATTAATTCTATTGATATAAAAATATTACTAGTAGTTATCTTTGCGTCACCATCCATTGCAAGATTCTCTCCGTATTTACGTTGATTGCTAGGAGTATGGCTTTCTGTACATTTGTTTGCCCAATTAGTAGCACTAGTTTCCACAGTTTTTGAATAAGTCAGCTTTTTAATATTCATGCCGGGTGGCAATAATCCAGTCTTATTTTGCTCTTTTCCATTAGCTAGGGAAGCTCTAAAGTTGTTATGACAAGCAAGAATGGCATTTTGTTCATCAAGTGTTAAGGCATTAATTTCTATGAAATGAGAATTTTGTGTGAGAATAGATTTGTGGGAAGATACTCATTTACCATTTAGAATCATTAATACTGTAGCAAACAGTAGTATTAAATTTTGGCACATTTTTAATTATAATGAATATATCTAAATATTATTGAACAGTAAAGATTCGAAAGGATATTAGAACAATGAACTAATTTTTAGCACTTTTAGCTAATTCGTTGTCTGAAAAGGATATCAAAATATCACAATCTATCCCTCTGTCTATTAGGGCTGGGTCTGCATTCGCATAACCTGCCTTTTTTGAACCTTCCATCTTCTGCTTTTTTATTTCATTCCGCATTCATCCGCTTCCTCCTTCCGCTTTTTAAAATTCAAAATTTTCAAGCCCTGCCATGTATGTATCCTAACCTCACTAATTTAATTTTTAAAATTGCCATAGCACAGATATTACAATTATTCAATGTTAATCAAATGGTATTCATTCAGCCTCGAATGCTTCTAAATTCACACATAAATTCAAAAACAGAATAAAGTTAGTGATTAAAAGGTATTAATGATTGGGTTCTCAATAACTTAATCATTTTATACTTTAAAAAATTTCATTTTATAAAGTTTTGCATCTGGATTAAGCAAATAATTTGATCTGAAAAAGTCTCAAAATATCTTAAAACTTCAATAATTAAATAAACAGGATTAGCTTATTTCTAAGCAGAATTATGCACTTTTAGGGGAAAATAGAAAATAATAAGCATTTTTTATCAAAATTATTTTCAATAACAGTCAAAATAATTTATTGAAAATTTAAAAACGAACTTTTACACCTGCCTTTAGCCAAACAAATAAATAAAATTTTTAAATAAATTTTTAATATTTTATAATAATATTTGAAAATAAATTTGAGAAATTATTAATTAATTTTGGGTAATATTTCACTCAGAAATTAATGTCAAAGTGCAATTCTACGAACTTACTCTATCTCAGTTTCATTCTTTTAGATAACAAAAATTTCAAGTTTATAAATATTTTTCCTCTAAGTTCAAGTAAATTAATTAAAAATTTATTAGTATACAAAAAATATTTTTCAAATTTAATGAACTGTTTGGAAATTAAATAAAATTCAGCTTGTGTTCCTGGTATATTCTTGTGTTCCTTATAAAAAACAGATGTTTTATCAATTTTAAAAAATATATACTGTCAATTATACTCAATTAAATTGCTTAGTACATGGACAGGTGAACTTGGGAATATAAGTAAAATCAACAGTATGATACAGGGTTCGTTCTGAAGTAAAATATCCCAATAATATAGAGAGGTTGACAAATTGAGTGAGGGTGATAGTGAGAGGTGGTATAGGGGTGTGATAGTCTATAAATTGTAAAAATATAAAGAAATGAAATATCCAGAAGACTTAGAGTTTGTTCATTTCTGTGTATTCGTAGTACTTGAAGTAAAAGCCTGTTTAGGAATAACCATAACTACATTATTATTCTCTTTAGGTAAAAAACAAATTTTTCGGATTAATTTATAAATGTGTGAATGCATCATTTCAGATGCCCAAAGAAGCAAAAATGCAGGAATGGCAATTGTACTGATATCGTTGACCAAGGAATATTCGTTGTATACTGTTAAGAAAATTAGTTCTGCTAAGTCTGGGTCGATTAAATTTTGAAGTTTAAAAGCAGCAACGTAAAGAATCAGCTAAAATATTAATATTCCAATTTCCAAAATTATTCAATTATTCCTAATTTACCATATAAAAAGTATATAAAAGTTGCCCAAAGAAAGTTAAAATCGAGTAAATTGTCAGTCGGGCTTCCATTTTTTGCTTGCTATCAGTCTGCTGTGAACTCACAATTTTGGTTTTCTTATAGACAAAAAGGCTGGCAAGATTAATTGCCAGACAAGCAATTGTGAAAACCCCCGAAAATTCAGCAGCAATCAAAGGGTCATTCGTATCCTGAAAATTTATTTGATAAAAACATGTACATTTTGCCAAAAAAAATTTTTTTAATTTTAAAATTATTACATCAGACTTCATTTGTGTAAGCAATGTAAACGTTGCATTATCATCATGAACCCAAATAGTTATATCTAAAAATACAATATGCCAAGTTTGTGTTAGAGGAAGGAGATAAGCAAGGATAATTGCCCAGTACCATAATTTCTTCCAAATCTGAATTTCAAAATTAATTCAATTTAGAATGCGTAATTAGACCCTTTCATATTTTAAAGGCCACACAAGGGCTGTAAGTCTATTCAAAAGAAGGGTAATAGTACACGTGCCCTCAACTAGGTAGAAATAGGCTGTCATAAAGTAAAAAATTGCCAAATAAACACCAGGCAATTCTAGATAAATTGAAAGGAAGAAACCAACACGTCCAAAACGTGTATACAAACATTGACCGATTAGTCCCAAAATACTCTTAAGAAAATTTTGAAGGGTTAATTATTTCTGCTTAATTAACCGATATAGTTCTAGCAGCAAAAAGTTTGAAGAATGAAGATTTGAAAACTTTTTTGAAACGAAAAATCACTCCTAATTCTGTCAAGTAAAGAATGGTTGAAGGTACAACAATTAATAAAGCGATTATATTTGGGGGAATTACAGATTGGGAAAGTGTGTTGAACAAATTAAATATCCATGTTGTGTTGCTCATTTTTTAACAAATTTTATCACTAAATCACGAAGTGTTTTAAGTCATTATAAAATTTTATATGATCATTTTCAAGGCTCTTGTAGGTTGTCTGTTAGAATGTGGTTCTATAGATTTATGATTTCAAAATTATTATGTACATTTAAATGAGAATTAAACTCGTTAAAACAATTTTTATTGACACTAAAATATGTAAATTGTTTAAAAATTCAAATGAAACTAAGGTAAAATTTAAAAAAAAGGAGTAAATATTTTTTATTATATGACCAATGTATTAATTTATTTTATTGTTGACAGATGTTTTAATTATTTTACACCTGTTTAATCTCGTATCTGTCTTTTTTTAATTTTGCGTAAACAAAAAACTTTGCGTAAACAGGCTATCATAATTTCTTGGTCTTGATCTTGTGAATATTGAGCATAACTTTACTGGCATGGATATAGAAATGTATTTTATTTTCAATGAAAAAGCTTAAAATAGCTCGTTTTGAAACAAATAAGATCAGAATTAACCGATATAGTATCCAGTTCTGGAACTAAGATTTAGTTTATGTCACGACTTTATTGCTGCCAAATAAAAATATCAAGTTGATAATAAGAACAAATAATTTTTAATATTTTATTTAATAGCAATAATTCTGGGGTAATAATTAAGAGGAAAGGATGAACTGATTTAAGATGATTTTTGTAGGCTTTATTATATAGTTCAAAATATAAAACTTATATACCATTACCATAGTTTTTCTAAGCTAATATATGTCATTTCATGAATAATTTTTATAAGTATAATACTATAATAACTATTTTATAATGTGAAAATAAAATTACAATTAAATACATAAAAATGGAACAATTTAGATAATGAGATCAAGAGTTTGTTTATTTCTGTGTATTAGTAGTACTTGAAGTAAAAGCCTGTTTAGGGATAACCATGACTACATTATTATTCTCCTTGGGTAAGCAACAAATTATTCGAATTAATTTATAAATGTGTGAATGCATCATTTCAGAAGCCCAAAGAAGCAAAAATGCTGGGATGGCAATTGTACTGATATCGTTGACCCAAGCAAGCTGATTGTAAACTGCCAAGAAAATAAGTTCTGCCAAATCGGGATCTATACCGAACTTTTGAAGTTGAGAAGCAGAAATGTAGAGGATTATCTAAAATATAATTCCTCCAAAATTATAAAAATAGCCCCAATTTTTACCATATAAGAAGTGAATAAAAGTTGTCCAACGAAAGTTAAAATCGAGTAAATTGTCAGTCGGGCTTCCATCTTTTGCTTGCTATCAGTCTGTTGAGAACTGACAATTTTTGTCTTCTTATAGACAAAAAAACATCCAAGATTTATTATTAGGCATATAATTGTAAAAGCCCCAGAAAACTCCGCAGTTATCAAGGGGTCATTTGGATCCTGAAATTTACACGAAAATACACTGTTTACTTTTATTTTAAAATATTTAAAAATATTACATCAGGCTTTGATTCTGTAAACAAAGTAAACGTTGCATTATCATCATGAACCCAAATAACTACTTCAGAAAACAAAATATGCCAGGTTAGTGTTAGAGGAAGTATGTAAACAAGAATAATTGCCCAGTACCATAATTTCTTCCAGATCTGAATTTATGTTTGTTTTAAGCCTAAAACCTAAATTGACCTTTTCATATTTTAATGGCCAATAAAGAGCTGTAAGTCTGTTCAAAAGAAGAATTGCAGTAGCTGACCCTTCCACATAATAGAAATGATTGGCCATAAAAGTAAAGATAACTAAATAAACACCAGGCAAGCTTAAATAAATTGAAAGGAAGAAACCAACACGTCCAAAACGTGTATACAAACATTGGCCGATTAGTCCCAAAATACTCTTAAGAAAATTTTGAAGGGTTAATTATTTCTGCTTAATTAACCGATATAGTTCTAGCAGCAAAAAGTTTGAAAAATGAAGATTTGAAAACTTTTTTGAAACGAAAAATCACTCCTAATTCAGTCAAGTAAAGAATGGTTGAAGGTACAACAATTAATAAAGCAATTATATTTGGGGGAATTACAGATTGGGAAAGTGTATTGAAGAAATTAAATACCCATGTTGTGTTGCTCATTTTTTATTAAGCACACGGGAATATAATTTTAATATCCGAATGTTGATATTTAATTAATCTGAGACAATACATATTTTAAAGGAAAATGCAATTTTATATTTTTTTACACAAGATTATACTTAATTTAATAAATTTTTAATTTAACTTCTTATTTACAAAAAAGAATTATAAATATTAAATTTCCAAGTTTAATTAAATTTGTTTAATAAAAATGTTAATTTAATAATAATAAAAAAATTATTGCTTAACAAGATTTCAATGAGGAAGGCGGTCAAATTTTTTTAATTATTTCCTAGTCCAAAGTGTCATTTATTTTATTCTTTAACAGGTGTTTTAGATCGTTTACACCTGTTTTCTCATTTTGTGTCAACAAGACAGGTTGAAATTAATTAAACACATTCAGAATTATAAAATAAAATTTCTTACGAGAGGACTGGTTTAAGGGTTGGGGATTGAGTGGGCGAGGCGCAGAGGACATAATTGGTCCTCTGCAATTGCTCTTTAATTGTTTCGGATTTTAGAGCTATTTTGGCAATTTTTAGTAACAATATAAACGCAGATTTTCAACTTTTTAGTGCCTGATAATCCTAACACTATTTAAAAATAATAACTGTTTTATACAGAGCAAATATAATGAAAATCAAATTTATATCGATAGAAAAATTTAGATAATGAGATCAAGAGTTTGTATGTTTTGTAATCATAGTACTCGAAGTAAAAGCCTGTTTAGGGATAACCATAACAACATTATTATTCTCTTTAGGTAAAAAACAAATTATTCGAATTAATTTATAAATGTGTGAATGCATCATTTCAGAAGCCCAAAGAAGCAAAAATGCAGGAATGGCAATTGTACTAATATCATTGACCCAGCAAAGCTGATTAAAAACTGATAAGAAAATTAGTTCTCCTAAATCTGGGTCTATATGAAAATTTTGAAGTTGGGTAGCCACAAAGTAAAGAATCATCTGAAATTAGAAAATTCCCAAAATTATTCAAATATCTCCAATTTACCATATAAATTAAATATAAAAGTTGCCCAAAAAATGTCAAAATTGTGTAAATTGTCAGTCGGGCTTCCATCTTTTGCTTGCTATCAGTCTGTTGTGAACTGACAATTTTGGTCCTCTTATAGACAAAAAGGCTTGCAAGGTTGATTAATAGGCAAACAACTGTGAAAAACCCCGAAAACTCCGCAGCAATCAAAGGGTCATTTGGATCCTAAAAATTTATTTGATAAAACAAATTTCGCGAAAATTACATCAGGCTTCATTACTGTAAACAGAGTAAATGTTGCATTATCATCATGAACCCAAATAACTACTTCTGAAAACAAAGTATGCCAAGTTATTGGAAGCGGAAGGATATAAGCTAAAATAATCACCCAATACCATAATTTCTTCCAAATCTGAATTTCAAAATTAATTCAATTTGGAATCTTCAATTAGACCCTTTCATATTTTACTGGCCACAAAAGAGCTGTCAGTCTATTTAGAAGGAGTGTGGCAGTAGACGTGCTCTCCACAAAGTAGAAATGATTGTTCATGAAATTGAAAATTGCCAAATAAATTCCAGGCAATTTTAAATAAATTGAGAGGAAGAAGCCAACACGTCCAAAGCGTGAATACAAACATAGGCTAATCAAACCGATGATACTCTAAAGAAAAATTGATACTTGGAAAGATTACTTTCAGGGGAATTTTAGAAAGAGATAAGCAAAGGTTAGCCACCGGGCAGGATTCGAACACTTGACCACCTGACAGTTATTGCAAGGCGCTTTCGCTCACCACATACAGGAGCTCTACCACTGAGCTACCGGGGCTCTCGAAAGCTTTTTGGCATCGAGAACAATGGCATCGACTAACATCAACTAACTTCCTCTTTTATCCCTTACAGATCTTTACAGTTATGAAATTATTTATGAAATAGATTAACCGATATAGTTCTAGCAGCAAAAAGTTTGAAAAATGAAGATTTGAAAACTTTTTTGAAACGAAAAATCACTCCTAATTCAGTCAAGTAAAGAATGGTTGAAGGTACAACAATTAATAAAGCAATTATATTCGGGGGAATTACAGATTGGGAAAGTGTATTGAAGAAATTAAATATCCATGTTGTGTTGCTCATTTTTTAAAAATTTTATTTCAGTTGTATCTTATTTTCAATTTCAATTTTATTAAACTAAACTATTAAAAATGCGCTTTTTTTAAAAAAAGCTCATTTTTTTAATTATTTTAACATGCAAATATTAGTACAATTTCGGCATACAAAAATACAAAATTCAATTATAGGGCAATTATACTATATTTGTTGGAATTACTCATTCGGAAAGTGTATTTTAAACAAATAAATAGTTATTTTGTGGTGATCTTTTTTTAATCTTTTAAAGATAAATTAAACGGAAATACTATAATTTTAACATGTAAAAGTTGGTATTGACAACAATGAAAATGCAATTTTATATTTTTACAGAATTTTATAATATAATAAAATTTATTTTACTTTTTATAAATTAAAATATAAATTTATATGATAATTTAATAAATTCGTCAAATAAAAATATTAATTTAATAATAATAAATTTTTTTGCTTAACAAGACTTCAAGAAAGATAGAAGGCGGTTAAATTTTTTAATAATTTCCTAGTCCAAAGTATTCATTTAGTTAGCTAATTAACAGGTGTTTTACATTGTTTACACCTGTTTAAATTCATATTTTTTCTGATTTGTGTAATTTATAACCATCAAGATAGGGGAAAACTAATTAAATAAGTGGATTTATTCATAATAATAAAATTAAATTTTTAGAAATATTTACAGCTAAAGTGTGAATATTTTATTATAACTAAACGGACAAAAAAGGAGAAAAAATTATTAATTTACCGTATTTTCTCAACAAAATCCCCATATCAATAATTTATCAAAACAATAAAATTCGCGGTGTTTAAAATAATTTATGGTAACAGACAAACGTGCCGCTCGTCTAACACTGTGCCGAGCAGTGTCTATAAATTTCAGATTTGCTCGTATTCGTACTCGTACTTCGTACCAGCCTATTTTTTTGCTCGTACTTGTACTCATATTTCGTACCCAAGTACGAGTCTGAACGAATATTTTGTACCTAGTACGAGTACGAACTTTTGTACGAGCTTATAAACACTGATGCCGAGCTTGTTTTGGTCCGATGCAGCTTATTACCAATGGCTTCTGGATTCAACATGTTATGGAAGCACGTTGGGGTGTGCCCCCCCCCCCCCCCGAGAGACACTTCAGGAAGTAAGCAGAAGTATATATTAGAAATATTATTAAAGGTGTCGATTAAATGTGTTTGTTGGATTAACAATTCCCGCTCAAATAATTCCCGATCCCTCGGATTTGCTGAAATATCAATTCCAGGAGAAATTAATCGAAAAATACGGTAATTAATTTTAATTACCTAATTATTTAATTTAAAAATAACAATTTAATTAATTCTTTAAAATTTACTTTAAAATATTTGTCTCTGATGTATAATCTATTTTAAACTTTCTCATATGATTTTAGCTATTCATATGGTATTCATTGGCTAGGATTTCTTCATAAAAGGCAGGCAGGACATTACCTAATTATTTAATTTTAATTTTTGAATTTATTTAAATTTAAAATATGAAAGTAACTATATTTGGTTGTTTTATTACAACATTAATTGTTGGATGTTTTGTTTCCTTAATTGGTAATATTTTTAAATATTATAGTAAATTCTGACTTTCAAATTCATATAAGTCTGAACTTAATATAAGAGTTACTATAACAGATAACCTCAGTTTAAAATAAGTTTCCTTTAGAATTCGGTTGGATACAAGGTTGAGGGGCTAGTTAAACAATAACAAATATTTAGGATACTTTTCTATAAGCTTATATTAAGGCCCCATGAGGGTTCAACTTTATAAATAAAATATTAATATTTAATTTAAAAAAGATGGAGAGACTGTGGAGAAAGACATAAAAAAGCTGGAAAATTTTTTCAAAGATGAATTAAAAGGTATTGGAGTACCCCAGATAGACACTTCAAGAATAAAGCAGAAGGATGCAAAAAATATTGCAAAATATGGCGTACATGTACGTAACCTTTTAGATTTTAAATTAAATTTAAAATGTTGGAGCGGGGGTAATCAGTAAAGATATCTACTAAACTTGGCCCTCCTGATCCAGAAAATAACATAAATTAATAAAATCGTGAATAAACCCAGACATGCTAGTTCGATTTATTCGGTAATACACATTTCCGTCCCATTGATAAACCCCTTTTAGTAGATAAACACTATCAAACCCTAATAATCTTTTTTTCTTCAATAAAATATATGTAGATTATAAAAATAAAATTATTTAAGAGAATGTTAGAAATCGCAGTTAAATTTGTCAAAAAACTTGAGGAATATATTATTTTAAAAAATAGAAATGATCAAGTTATAAAGGAGTTAAAAGAATTAAATGAGGAAATAAAAAGTGTTTTGGAAAGTTTTGGCATAAAATTTAACAAAAATAATCAAATGGAAGGAAAAATTAAGCAATACAAACATCTTGAAAAATATATCCCATCGTTGGATGATTTATTTGAAATTTATAAAGAACTTCATTCCAAGACACAATTGCATGACACAGAAGTGATGCGTAGTAAAGGCGGAGACGCTATCCGATTCGCTTCTGGAGCGTTCTGAAAAGAAGTTTGAAATGAAAGAAGTCTGATTAATGAAAGAAGTCTGATAGGGGGATTTTTTAATGAAAAAAAATTTTTGGGGATTTAAAAAAGACAATTCTCTGCTTGATTTTAAAATTAAAAAAATTTTTTTTGATATTTTTTATTAATTTTTTTTTCTCGATTTATCTTTAAAATTTTCAAAATTTTTGGAGTAAACATTGAAGCTTTGATTGTTAAAAAAAATTTTTTTAATATTAAAATATTTATTTTTAATAATATTGAAATCAATCGTCTGTCTATAAAAAAATATGCACTTTATTAAAGTTGAGAAATACAAAAAATTATTTCTTAACGTCTGGCATGAAATAAAACGCCCTTTACATCCGCTTAAAAAATTATTAACTAATTATTAAATAATTATTAAATAATTAATACAAAATTTTAAAAATAATAAAATTATCCTCACTAACATCACAATAAAAAATATTAATAATTAAATTTATTTTATTATAATTGAAAGGTATAATTATTTAGACAAACTTTACAAGAGAATTGGAAGATTGTTGAATAAGCTCCGAAAGATCCAGTCTGGCATCGAATGTTTGCCCGAAAAAGGAGGTCCGAAAAAATGACTCGAGCATCGGCCCGAATCGAAATCCCCAAACCTATTACTATTAATTAATTATAGAAAGAGTTTAGCAAAAGTTTAGCCACCGGGCAGGATTCGAACCTGCGACCACCTGACAGTTATTGCTAGGCGCTTTCGCTCACCACATACAGGAGCTCTATCTCTGAGCTACCAGGGCATCGTCTAATGCTTACATTATTCAATAATTCTTTCATGGCAAGGACTCGATGAATATTGACAGGGGATATGCTTAATCCACTACTACTTAATTCAGAAAGCAAAGATAAAAAATTATTAAAGATAAAGCAAGTTAGGGATGTTAAGAAATTATAGTCAGGATTTTCGTGTGTAAAGGCTCTCATTCACTTTGAAGGCTCTCCTCTCATAGCCTCTCATTCCCCTTTTTTAATATTAAATATTTTTACATAATAGTTATTTTCTTATTTATTTTTATTAATAATTTTTGAAATTTTGTTTTAACAGATTGTATTTTCATGCTTAGATTGTTGACACTTTTAATTGTGTTAACAATAATTCAAGGTCTGTTAAAGCTATAATCTGGAGGAAACCTAAAAATTTTTTCTTGAATTTTAAGATTCTGATGGCCTTAAAAATAAACTTAGAGGATTGGCCAGACAGATTTTTTCAACCAAAGCTAACAATAAAACTTCGAATCCGAGTACAGCCAAATTTCTTAAACCTACAAATATGAGCATTAACGATGGACATTCTTCTAATGGGCATGTTTTCTTTCCCAAAAAATTTTCCTTAATTTAATTATATATTAGAATGCCATTTGCTGCCTCAGGATTACAACACTCATTTAACAAAAACAAAATTACGACCAATACAAAAATAAAAAACGGGAAGGATATGAGTAGAATAATCACAACAAACATTAAAATACACCCATTTTATGATTATTCTAATCCAGTTTTGGGGTCATATTCGAGTGCATATGTCAGTGCTGGACCCAAATTTAAAGCCTATAAATTTGGGCAGAAGGATGACGAATATGAGTATTTAAAACAGTCGAAATTTAGACCTTCCAAATCATCCAAGTCGTTAATTGAGAGGTTTATAGAGGAGGATGAAAAGGAAGAAAAATTGAAATCAGAGGTTATTCTTTTTTAATCTTAAATTCTATAATTGTTAGAATTGACGGTTCTGAAATGAACCGAAGACCGATGATTTTTCGGGTTGGTTTCGATATCCGAAAAATTTCCAGGAACCGATAAGGCTAATAATGCCCATTTAATTTGTATAGGATTTGTCAAGAAAAAATGTGGTTCAAAGAATAAAAACTTCAAGTCATCTGAATTCGGACTTAGATTCAGGGAATAAAAGGGAAGGACTAGCTATAGCATTAGAATCGAATAATCATGAAAAAGAAGGTCAAGATAGCCATAAAAATAAGGAACAAGATTCAACTTTAGTTGCAAATAAAATGGAGAATCAAGTGCCTGAAGCACAAATAATAGTTGAAACACCAGTAGTATCAGAAGAAAAGATAATCGAAAATTCTTCGGAAGATAAAAGTGGTGATAGTGAATATTATTCGGTTAATTCAGAATATTATTCAGCCAATTCAGAAAGTGAGGAAGAAAGTCCTGAAGAAATTGAACGCAGTTTGACTGCGGATCAAGTAAAAAATGAAAATAAAGGAAAATTAAAGAGATTTTATAGTGAGCAAAGCCCTTCAAGGAAAAAAATGATTGAAGAAGGATTTGAGTTTACTCCAAAACAAGATAGTGTTGGAACGAGTGATTATAAAATTGAAAAAGGTATTCATAAGGTTAATAAGGTTAACGTAGGTACGTAGGTTATAGGGTCATTTATGGGGGGGGGGAGAATCTAATAATGGTTACCACATTGTCATTTAAGTGATTTCCCCAATAGGACCATTAGTGATAGGACCATGAGGTAGAACACAATAGGACCATGAGGTTGCTTAAGAAACTATCATACTACGATTGAACCCCACTTGTTGATCTGAAACCCCAAAACTCTGTAAAAACGTTTTCTTATTAAAATCATTTTCTAGTAGATGAAAAATTGAACGACGAACAAAGTAAGGGTAATCATGAACACAATACAATTAATAAAGAGAATATTTCCGTAAAAATATTAAATAAAAATGAAAAAACAGAAGATAAGAATGAACAAAATGAGGAGGATGAAACAATGATTAGTGAAAATCAAAAGGAGAATATCTCGTTAACTAATGACCAGAAAAAAGATAATAATGAATTAAATCATTCAAAAATTCAAGAAAATATACAATTAAATAAAGATAAAAAGATAGCAAAACGGTCTAAAAGAAAAAATAAACATGGCAAAAATCCTTTAGGAGTAAACAAAGTTAACGGGATAAAAACCAAAAAACAGGGTAAAATAAGGGATAAAATTCATAATATATTGTTTAAAAATGAGGATAAAAATAAAGACGATTTGTATAAAATGATCAAAGAAAATGGCAAAAAAGGTGATCGAAAAGTGAACAGTGCTAAAGCAGGTAACTCGATAAAAAATCAAAGGAATGGTCGTCTATCTTCTGATAAGAGACTTGAAAGAAAAAGGAAACGGACTGTTAAATCAAAAAATAAAGCAAAAAATAAAGGAATACTTAAAGGATTTAAGGTTAAAACTAAGGGATTACTTGGAGGATTAAGATTTGGAAAGAGTAAAAAGGGAAAAACGAATAACGTAAAGGATTTAGAGAAAGATGTGGGTGTTAGTAAGAATGATCAAGTAAAAGCAAATTATCAAGATGATTTTGAAGTAAAAGAAAATAAAAATGGAAATCAAGATGAAAGCAGTTCAAGTAAGTTAATGATGCTAGAATGAAGTTAGTTTAGTATAAAAGACAAAGCCTTTCTCAGTTGTGATTAGGTTGTTATTAGTGTTATTCTGTCATTCACAGTTAGTATTCTATTATTAAAATGAATGTCTCACATATTCTTTTGCATTATTACATTGGGTTAAAGTAATTCTGTTAGTTAAGTCTTTCTATTAGTATTCGGAAATACTACTACAAGGTAATAAACATAAAAAATAATTATAATGACAAAAATTTGATTAATATATTTTATTTCATTTAGTTTTAAACAAGAATGAGCTAGAAGTAAGCTCTTCTACGAAAGCTGAAAGTGTTATCAAGAAAGAAGAAAGTTCTTCCAAGAAAGATGAAGGTTCAACCAAGAAAGAAGACATTTTCCCTAAGAAAAATGAGATAAGCAAAGTGATTGACGAAGTTAAAATCTTACCACAGAATAATATTGTTAATACAATACAAGAAGAGGAGGTTATTTTAAAAAAAATTGAAATACTAATTTATTAAAATTTAAGGAAAACGAGTCTGTTGAAGAATTAGTTCTGAAACCGAGTGATGAAAAAATAGCCAAAAGTGAGCAGTTTAATAAATTATTAGAAGAATCTTCTCCTAAAACAATTCCATTCTCAGCATCTCCATTTAGACACATCAAATGTAAACTTTTGATATTTAAGATTTTTAAAAACATGTTTTGAAATTTCAGCAGCTTCAAACACAATTTGGGCTGAATATGAATTCTCACCTTCACTGGCTATTAAAGAGGCAGACATGCTTTCGATTGTGCCTCTTGTATGTTTTTAATTGAAAGAGGATTAAAATAAGATTTTAAATTTTTAGCTCTTCAAGACATTCGAAGCTAAAAAGCATAATAATAAGCATAAATCTTCGATATCAGAAAATGTGAAAAAAGAGAAAAAAATACTTCATTTTCACCCACAAAAATTTTTCTTGGCTACAGTATTGAAGCAGTAAGGATAATTTTAAAATATATAAAATTATAAATTTTCAAAAATTTTAGGGCTTTTAAAAAAGGTCACAAAGACAAAATATCATTTGAACAACTCGAAGAATTTTTCAAAAATGTCGAAATGGAAAATTGGGATGAAATTGAAAATGAAAAAAATATGGATATGGACAAAATAGAAATGTTATTTGATAATTATACAGACTTTGAAAAATTGAAAGAAAGAGATATTGAAATACATGTAAAATATTTTTTAAAGTAAAATCCGTAAAATAATAAATTTCAGGTAGAAAAATATAAAGAACTAAATAAAGAACAAATAAAAGAATATCCTTTAGAAGACCAATATCTTTGGTTAATTATTAAGTCGTTGGACGGTGAAAAGAATTTTGGAAAAATTTTGGAGAAAAAATTTGTTTATGAGAAAAAGGTTTTTAAATAAATTTTTGATAAATAAAAAATTTTTTTAGTTAGAAGACGCTAAAAATGATATAGAAAAATTAATGTCAGAATTAAAAATGCCCATATTTGAGGAGAATGAAAAGGAATTTGTTGAGAAATTAATTAAGACTGTTTTGCATATTATTAATCTTTTAAATTGGGTTAGTCGAGAGTAAATTAATGTGGTCGGATCTCATTATGAGTACATGAAAGGTTCGTGTAATGAGATGTCTATTAAACTGTGCCCCTAGTTGCCAACCAAATTTAGAAAACAAAGCTTGAATTTTTATGTATCAGAAATTGGCCCTACCATATTTAAAAAGCGGAGGGCGAAGGAAAGAAGACAGAAGAAAATCAAAATTAAGCGGAAGATAAGTAAGACGGAATTCGTTGGGAGACGGAAGCGGAAGAGATCCTAGAGACTTCCAAGACTCGTGGTCTTGAGTCTTGACTCAAGAATTTTCTTGGGGTTTGTTCGGTCTTGGTCTCGGTCTTGACTTTTTTGGGTTTTGAAAAATACACCCCTAAAGATCTCTAAGAGATCCTATCCCAGATGTGTCTCATAGTGAGATCCGGCTTTACTTCTATTAAAAAAATAAATATTTCTTGGCCTAATTTTATTTTCTTTAGAAATCAGGAGACACAAGACAATTTAATAGTTTGGACTTGAACAATCTTCCAGATTATTTAAAAAGAAAAAATCAAAATAGTGAATTAAAATATAAGGATATAGACATAGCCCATTTAATTATAATTTTGTTGAAAAATAAAATTGGAGGTCAAAGCGAGAATGTTTTGTATAGTCAATTAAAGAATTTAAAAGATAAATTTTATGAAAGTAGAATTTTGTGAGTTGAACTAATTTTTAAATTTAAATTTAGGAGCTACATATAACCTTTCGTTCCAAAAACATATCTGGCATTTTGTCTATTTTTTGAATTTGCGATATGACTAGAGACCAGAATTTTGACAAAGAGAAGGAACCCGGTCGGGACCTGGAACCGGGTCCCGATCCCGTTCTGGTATCTAGTTATGACCCCGCTTACTTAGACGATCACAAACAGATACTTTATCACACGAAAAAACACAATGAAGGTTTTAAGTATTGGCTGGCTTTTATACTAAACTGATTAAGGGCTCTCGCCCAGTCACAACAATTTGTTTGTGGACTTTTCTCATTTCCTATTTATTTTGTAGTAAACCATCACTAAATAGTCGTCTGTTTATATTTGTTTAGCCGTAAAACTACATAATATATAAAAATATGTCTATAAAAATAATTTAAGATACGAAAACTATAAAAAGCACGCTGAAAGAATTGATGAAATTTACAAAGATTTTGGAGCAAACGAAGAAGCTGGTATCATCGATAAAATCAATTCGTTAAAAATGCAACTTCAAAAAGTTCAAGAAGAGTCAGAAATATTCAAGTGGCTAGGGTTTTATTTGGCTGAAACCGATGTTGATAAAAGGTGTAATGATAGAATAAAGGGATTCAAGGCACTCGAAGATGGTTTTACACAACTTTTAACTGCAAATAGGGAAATGGAAAATGTGAAGGTAGACTATTATGTTATAATTATTTTTTTATTTTAATGTAGACTAGTAGAGAATTGAATCAAGTAATGGAAAAAGCTATAGAAGACACGAACAAATATAATGAAATTGAGGAAGCTATATCCGAGTTAATTTTGGAAGAAGAGAAGGAATTTGTAAAGCAATTGGCGGCGTGGAATGGAAGGGCACACATAAGGAAGAATAATTCAAAAACTGGAAGTGCAGGAATGGCAACGGTTCATGCAGGATCTCCTCCACCCCCTCCACCACCACCAGGAAACGGAAGCAATAAAGTTATTCCAAAGCCGCCTCGACCACCGTCTCCACCTCCCCCGCCTCCATTATCAAAGACTAAAGCTAATCAAGGAAGTCCAAAACAACCGCCATCTCCGCCTCCACCTCCGCCACCCATGCCTAAAGCTAGTCATGGAATTCCAAAACCTCCGCGACCACCACAGAAACAAGAAAGTAAAGGAGTTCCTCTACCACCACCGCCGCCTCTTCCACCAACTCATTCATCTCCGACTATAAAAAAGCCTAATTTATATGTAAGCTTTATTTGGTTACTGTATCTTCTATACACTAAATTAATTTTAGCAAAACACTCCTAATTTTAACGAAACTAGTTCTTCTAAGGGTGAAGTAAGTGAATCGAAAAACACAAATATTGAGGAAAATATGGATGATATTAGAAATGTTGACAAGAAAGAAATTTTGTCCAGAAATCTTGAAAAAAGGCGTCATTATATGCAATCTGATGAAGACGACTAAAGTTTTGGACAATTTTGATAAATTTTTATTTTTTCTAGAATTTATTTTTATTCAAGTTAGAGTTTCTAACGGATTGAAAAACAGATTTTATATGTCCCGTTGACATTTCCCCAATGCGATAATCAAAAAAGATTTAAACAATTTCAATTTATATTACATGTTATTTAATCATGTGTAGGATACATGCTATTTGTTTGTATCGTATTTCCATTTATAAACATGTTTTTTACTGATATAAATTTTCCAAATAAATGTTTTCTTGTTTCTCCATTGGCCCAAAGCAATAGCCAAGATGGTAAAACAATCGTGCTTATATCAGATACAAGAAAATTTTGATTGAAAACAGCCTAAAATTTTTCTTTTGGGTAATTCTCTCAATATGATTTTACCAAGAAAAAATTTTGGCATTCATCATAGGAAAGTAATGAAGTGCCACTTATTGAAATCCTAACAGCGATGTAGATTAAGGTCTAAAATTAGATTATAAAGATTAAAATGTGTATGAATATTGAATTGGTGGGTGTCCTCGATCTGTCCTCGATAAATCTGATAGATGAAATTAATACATAGGCATAGAATTAAGGCATTTTTAGTTGGTCAAGAGTTTAGTTTTCTATTTTAAAGTTCGGACAAGTTAGGTAGGTGTAAGTTATTAATGTATTAGAATCAGTGTTGGTCTGCACCCGGGTCGACTTTCGCCAAGTCCTTATTTATCCCTGCCTATTGCTACCTTCGTTATTCTTGTAATTACTCTTGGGATAAGCGTAATATTTTATTCTTTGTTATTCTGTTAGCTATTAGATTAGGTGCTATCCATGACTAGTATAGAAAATTCGATTCACCGTCGTAATAGAAATAAGTAGCTGGCCAACAAACGTCCAAAAGGCGTAAAGTGTCAGTCTCTTTTCGATAGTTCGTTGTAATCCGTTCGAAGTTGTTTTATTTGTATGAGGTTGTACTTTAGTTTTGTAGACAAATAATGTAGCTATATTGATAATTAAACAGATAAACATGAAAATAACACAGGAATAGGCTGCATCTTCCGTAGGGTTAATCTCTCCTGGCTTTATAGTACTTTCATATATAGTTACAGTTTGATTGTCAGCCTGTAGTCGGGCAATAAAGGGTTCAGACAAAATTTGTACGGTCCGGCTTAAAGGAAGTACAAAAATAAGTAGCATACTGAGTGGTAGACAGCGTCTCCATGCCTAAAATGCAAGAAAATCTTAATTTTTAGGATTAAACTATTATTGACCCTTTCATAAGAAAATGGCCATAAAATAGAAGAAAGTCTATTCAGTAATTGTAATGTGGTAGCTATATTTTCGCCGTGTATGCAATAATAACCGAAGAAGAATATCACGGCTAACACCCATGAAGGTAGTTGAAGGAATAGATTTGTGAATAACCCAACCTTTCCAAAACGTGGTCCAAAGGAGATAATAAAGTTGAGAATGTTCTAAAATTTTTAGGATATTTAATCGAATCATCTAATTCAATTACCAAAATTGACTTTGCAATGAGTAACTGAAAAAAGCTGGAATTAAAATCCTTCCATTTTGTAATAATTATTACAACTTCAAATAAATATAAAATAGCAGAAGGAACTCCAATGACTACGGAAATTACAAACGGCAGATATACTGTATTTGCCAAAAATACAATTGGTGCTGACAGGAAGAAGCCCATTGATCTGAACTTTAATTCTTTAAGAAAATAAATACTCTTTAGTAACGTCCTAAGTTGCGGATCTATCAGAAGAAACACAAACTTATTTCAAAAACAGTCTAGCATACATATGATTAGATACATTAATGACAAAATGGAATAAGCAGAAAGACTAAGAAATGCCGAGCAAGATTTTATAAATTTATACAAGCTTTAATACAAATATTTAAATTGAAAGTGCCAAAACAAATTAGTAAACAAATTTATTATTTAAAATAAAAATTTTTTAAACTTGGACAGGTGGAATAAAAAGTTAATGGAAATTTGTGTAAATTTAATTAAAATAATAAAATTATTCAATTACAAAACCTCAATAAACTAAAAAAATAGGTAAATATTTACTGGCATTAAGTAAATAATTTATTTAATTATATGTCAAAGCCCTTATTAAATATTGAAATTTAATTATAAAGCATTTGATAAACAAGTTTTTTGAGCTGCTGAAATCCTCAATAGGGTTGAGCGCAAGAAAATATTTTAAAAAACGCAAAATTAAAAGGGTTGTCGGTTC